CATGTGTGTATTTTGTAAATATACAATTTGTTCAGCAGAGGAATGATTTACTGTCTAGGAAATGACCTGGCTGACCGTATTTAGTTGGTGAATAGCTTAGCGTACCTTGGTTGTAGTGTGGATCACTCTACAGACATGATCTAAATCAGGGGGGGGTCAGCAACTTGTAGATGACTGGTGGATCGCGGCCTGGGCTTGCTAACCCACCATCCCAGAGCATCAAATAGAGTGCAATGCAGAGGGACTGCTTGTAACGTTGGCGCTGTAGTGGGGAGCGAGAGCCGCATAAGCCGATGGATCCTCTGTAGTGCCGGCTCCTGTCCCATCTGGAGTGATACCAACTGCACTCCACCTCTTATCCCGGCTAGCATTCTCCAGAGTGGTGCCAGCAGCAGGAAGAGATCCTCAGGTCAGTGTGAAGCAATACACTGGGCACAATGGTACAGGGCTGCTTTCACACTGATGCGCTGCGGTTTACCGACACTGTGGGTGCAGTGCAGTATACCTGCAGCTTTCCTGCAGGTGCGTTTATCCATTCTAAGGGTCCTGCATATAATACAAGCCTATGGCAAAGCACAGCTAACCCAGGAGAATCACAGAAGCACTGCGCTGCACCCGTGGTGCAGGTAAACCGCAACACATCAATGTGAAAGCAGCCTTGTAGGGGGCTCAGAACAGTAAGGGTTTATTTACATTTGGGGGGTGGTAATACCCCATAGTTAAAATGTGTTTTTACCACACAGCCTCCCCTCCTCGCATCCCCAACTTTGCCCGCTTTAGGTGCGGTAGCCAGGGGTGTACACATGCCCAGTCAGGATTTATATGACCTGTCGAAAATCTACTAGTATATCCCCAGCTTTATTGTTATTATTATACAGTATTTATAAAGCGCCAATAGTTCGCTCGGCGCTGTACATTACAAAGGGGGACAGAACATGTGACAGAACAATACCAATACAATGCAAAACATGAGGGGATTGAGGGCCCTGCTCTTTGGAACTTACAATCTAGGAGGGAGGGGATGGTGGTACAGGAGGAGATAGCTGTGGGGGATGGGGTGGTAGGAAGAGTGGAGGAGGTCGGCAAGTTAGCAGGGGGTGGGGTAGGCTTCCCTGAAGAGATGGGTTTTCAGGGTGCGCCTAAAGGCTGTATCTGTGGTGCTCTCACACTCACGTTCCAAATCTTAAAACCTTTTCCCTCCTGATGTGCCCATCGTTCCATAATCACACCTTTTGGTCTCACTTTCAGGCAGGAAAACCTTCCCAAGGGCCAGAAGAACCCAAGGGACCAACTTCCGTTCCCCGGTGAGCTTTAGCCCCACCGATCACTCCCTGAGCACCAGCAGCGGAAGCAGCGTCTTTACACCAGAATACGAGGACAACCGGTTGAGGAGAAGAGGGAGCGACATTGACAATCCAACCCTGTCTGTGATGGATATAAGCCCACCAAGTCGATGTAAGTTCTCGATTGGATTCTGTACTTCCTTCGTGCTTCCTTGATGTTAAAATGGTGATATTGTTTCATAAAGATGCGATTAGCAACTGCAGTGACCATTGTCCGTACAAGACATGGGCCGATTGCAGCCCCAGGGCTCCATCTCTGGCTGTTGATATCCAGCACTTGATACCTCCACTTTCAGCATTCCTTTCTGAACCTGTCAACTTCTTCACTGAGGAAGCTGTCAGACTCAGAGAGGAATATTGACAGAATGTGTGGTGAGTTACATAGTTAGTCTGGCTGAAAAAAGACAAAAGTTCATCCAGTTTAACCATTAAAAAAAAAAAGTTATAATCCTATACCCACAGCTGATCCAGAGGAAGGGAAAAAAGTTTCAAGAACTAGAAGGAGAGAACCTTGAGAAGCTGATCAGTGCAGCAGGAGTCTTGGTTCTAGCGGGAGATTGTTGTCTAGGAAATGTCCCGCCACTCTGCTTCTAGTCACGGTGCTTTTTGGAGGGCACTTGACAGGCAGTGAGGAGTGTTATATCGCCTTCTCACTGCCTGATATAACTCTATAATGCCACACTACCACGCTGCAGATGCATGCATTGCACATGGTTATGGCGCAGTCCCATTGAACTTGGTGGGCAACGTTGACAAGCGGTGCTGCTTGTCAAAGCTCTGCGCCCTCAGTTAAAAATGCCTAGTCCAGCTGTAATTCTGCAGTTCCGTGCTGCGCTAAAAACCGCGGCTCAGCTGCCTGTGTATACCACCTCCTGACTGCCCATTTAACCTCCCTGGCGGTATTCCCAAGTGTAGCTCGGGGTAAAGTTTCAGCACCACAAGCGGTAACCCCGAGCCACACTCGGTAAAAAACTGCAGCGTTGCTCCGGGATCCCTTCTGCACTTACCTTGTCCTGCGCTCCCGCGATGTCCCCCCTGCAGTGTCCCCGGCAATGTCCTCCGGCCGATGCCGGCATCTGTCTTCCGGGTTCCGTTCCCTGTGACGTTGGGACATACGGGGGACGGAACCGGCGGGAAATTTAAAAATATCAAACAGTGACATTCACTAAATACACTAAAATCACATAGTATAACATTCCTGTATCAAACCATTTCACATACATTTTGTCCCGAGTGCTTTGTCCGGCACCCTGCCTGCATTTTTACTGTTCTTTCTGCCTGGAAACTGAGAACCTTAGCGTCCCTTTAGGTCAAAAGCGGTTTTAGACCGGCTAGAGAACAGCGATAGTAAATCAGAACCACTTCCAGAATTGAGTGATAATGATTCGTGGGGGAAATTCCTCATCAGACACTGAAAACGATTCTGCGACTGAGCTCAGCGATGTGCGAACTTGGCGCTATATTTCAAATTTCAGTGTTTTTGGTTTGATTATATTATTGACGTAATTTTATTATTATTAAATTAATATTTTTTTATGATCATTTATTAAATTATAATTTATGATTTAGTGTTTCAAATTTTATCATCCCCGGGATGTTTACTAGACTCTTGTTCGGACAGATTTCCATGAGTTATTCCTAAGAATTACAGGCCTACAATAAAAAAGCGACATATTTCCATGCAAAAAAAATGTACGCTTTGAGCACAGAAATACTGACATAATCAGACTGCTAGGGAGGCTACGAGAGACCTGTTTCATGATCTGTTTCGTACCTATTATTCTTGCTGCCAAGTGTTTTGTTTTTTTATATGTTTATGTGCTTACTGACCTTCCTAGGTCCAAAATTAATATTGAGCAGAATTGGATTCGACCCGCCACAACAGTCCCAGTTTCTCATGTGGCTCTTTGGGAAAATTAATCGCCCACCGCTGATTTTATATCATGCCTTATTTTTCAGCACCACGTGCGCCATCAAACTGGAGGCTTGGAAAACTTCTCGGACAGGGGGCGTTCGGCAGGGTGTACCTGTGCTATGACGCTGATACTGGCAGAGAACTGGCAGTAAAACAAGTCCAGTTTGATCCAGACAGTCCAGAGACGAGTAAGGTAAGATACTGGTCAACCCCTGGAACCTTCTCTACTGGACGGTTCAAAAGTTTGAACAGTTCTTATGGTTTGAAAAGTTTTTAGCAGTCTTAGTTCTGTGTTCTTAAACGGCTATATTGATTGCAATCTCTAGGTTTCTGCAGTCATAACCAGAAGTAGTCACACTTATTGGATTTCAGTCCTCACTCTATTGTACTGTCTATATCAAGAGACTGATTATACTGGTGTGGGCTTTACTCCATGGGCAGTTTCAGTCTCCTGCTACTCAAAGGTTTATCCACTTTACAGCAGGCACCTGAATAGGCTAGAGTTATATTAGAGGTTTTTATGCAGCTCAGTTCTGCCAGTAAAATTCATAGTGATTAAAAAGCTAGTTTCATCTTTGTGTACAAAAAAAGCTAAAAAAAACAGAACTAATAAACACATTTTTTATGTAATGAATTAAGCATTTTTGTTTTTGTTTTTTTGGTTTTTTTTTTTGGGGGGGGGGGGGGGTTTAGTGGTTGTGGGTGCAATGCCAGGCTTCAGCAGACACTTTGTATAGCTCTCTGACCGTGCCTCTGTATGGGTAAACAGTTGCTAAACTGCAGGAATGTCAGTGGATTATGAGGGTGCTGATCAGCGCTCTCTTAGTCCATTGAGAACTACAAGTTCATCTGCAGTGGTGGGGGGGGGACAACGCTGAGTGAGTGGGACCGGAAATTAGCAACTTGTTACACCCTAAATATGGTGTAACATGTTGCTAAAGATGCACTTAGCCTTTAAACATAGACTCCAACCCAGGGGCGGACTGACAACTCATAGGGCCCCCGGGCAATAGGGGATCATGGGGCCCCTGTGTCCTTGCCCAAACTCAATAAAGCCTATGAAAAAGGTACCAGGGGCATCTCATGGGGCCCCCTACTGACCCCTGGCCCTCGGGCAGTGCCCGAGTTTCCAAATGGTCAGTCCGCCCCTGCTCCAACCTTACCTTACTTCACTTGTACATAAATGGCTTACTCTGATTTCACTGCACACTGCGAGCTTCTCACATTGTGCTTTAGAAGCTGCAACAAGTTAGATGAAGCTCCGCCTCATTTCCTGGCTGGAAGACATCCAGCATCATCTATCTAGCTCCCTCCTTTCTAGCCTTGCTATCTCTGGCCTACCACTTTCATTCATTTCAGCTATTGCAGTCATGGAGGCTTAGTATCACATATGACTGTTAGAGTGATCTGCATTCAAATGTAGTCTGCCTAAATTTGCCAATTATATGCAGATTAAAACTTAGCTGTGGGAAATTTTTTATTTTCCCATGTAGTGGGGCTGTGCCTGCGCTGCATGGGTCAACTGCTTGTTTTGTCTCGGGGTGAACACAGAGCCTATGCTCACCCGATCCTTCGATCCTGTGTAAACCAGTGCTCCCCCACGTCCAGCGGTGGACTGTTCTTGACGTCCTCACAACCACCGGCCAGCTCTGGATGTGAGGACAGCAGGAACAGTCCACTGCGCAAGATCCTGTGTAAACCAGTGCTCCCCGACGTCCAGCGGTGGACTGTTCTTGACGTCGTCACAACCATCGGCCAGCTCTGGATGTGAGGACAGCAGGAACAGTCCACTGCGCAAGATCCTGTGTAAACCAGTGCTCCCCCACGTCCAGCGGTGGACTGTTCTTGACGTCCTCACAACCACCGACCAGCTCTGCATGTGAGGACAGCAGGAACAGTCCACCGCACAAGACCGCTAGACCGTGGAGGGACAGGAGCAACAAGGACCGGACTTGTGCTGGGAGGATCGGTGGATCAGGCAAGTATATCTCTGCTCTCCAGTCCCCTAGTCAAGCAGATAATCCGTGCAGTGCAGGCACACTCCCACTGCATGAAGAAAAAAAAAACAATGCCCAGAGTTCAGCTTTAAGATCTAGAAGTAAAAAATGATGGCCTTTTCTAAGAAGTAGGGGTACACTAAGTGGCATGTAGAAAAACCTTGTAGCGATCAATCACACATTAATGGAGCATTGTGCAATACAATCTCTTAAACCCGTGCTGATGTATTGTTGCAGAAGTATAATGTAAATATTTGTATAGGCATTGGCTAAATTTTCCATGGACCTCCCTCTTCTCTGGACTAGCCGTAGATTATGCAATTTTCTGTCCTCCAGTCCGGGGTTGAAGGAAAGGAAAATCGTTAAATTCCCCCATCAACATAGTCAGTGATGACGGGGGAATACTTTCCACTGCGCTATTATATTGTGACGGCGGGTGGTTTTCTCTGCTGTCAGGATGCAATGATCTCTGCCGGCAGCTATAGCTGCCAGCAGTGGTTGTGTAAAAAAAAACACAGACAGACTGAATTTGATCGATAAATGAACCTCCGTACAACCAGCCTGCCCATAGATCAACCAAACTTTGGTGGGTTAAAGTTTTGGTCCATCTCCTGTGTGGTAGTTCCCTCCATCTGCCCTCAGAACTGCAGACTATACGGGTGGGTTCTTGGATGTCAAGGCACAAAATTTTCGCTTTGAAATAAATCGGTGTTTTTATGTGGAGAGGGGAGAGAGAAGCAGGGATAGGCAAGGTTCTGTAGTCCATTAGGGGAAACCTGGCTGACAACTTTGCTTCAGATTTCAGTACAGCAGAGGCAGCACTGATTAATTTTTGGCAGGATTTCCAGGTATTTTTCTGTACTTGCATGGTAATATATGAATGTAAGCTCCCAGGATCAGGGCCCTCCTATCCCTCTTGTATTGAACTGTATTGTTACTGTATTGTCTCCCGTTATATTGTAAAGTGCTGAGCAAACTGTTGGCGCTAATATAAAATCCTGTATAATATATAAATCCTGTATAATAATATATAAATCCTGTATAATAATAATAATATATAAATCCTGTATAATAATAATATATAAAATAATAATAATATATAAAATCTGAATAATAATAATATATAAATCCTGAATAATAATATAAATCCTGTATAATTATAATATATAAATCCTGTATAATAATATATAAATCCTGTAATTATATAAATCCTGTATAATAATAATAAATCCTGTATAATAATAATAATAATAATAATAATAATATAAATCCTGTATAATAATAATAATAAATAATAATAATCCTGTATAATAATAATAATAATAAATATATATATCCTGTATAATAATAATATATAATCCTGTATAATAATAATAATAATATAAATCCTGTATAATAATATATAAATCCTGTATAATAATAATAATAATATCCTGTATAATAATAATAATAAAATATCCTGTATAATAATAATAATAATATCCTGTATAATAATAATATATAAATCCTGTATAAATGAATAATAATAATATAAATCCTGTATAATAATATATAAATCCTGTATATATAATAATAATATATAAATCCTGTATAATATTAATATATAAATCCTGTATAATATTAATATATAAATCCTGTATAATATTAATATATAAATCCTGTTAATAATAAATCCTGTATAATAATATATAAATCCTGTATAATAATATATAAATCCTGTATAATAATAATATATAAATCCTGTATAATAATATTATATAAATCCTGTATAATAATAATAATATATAAATCCTGTATAATAATAATATATATAAATCCTGTATAATAATAATATATAAATCCTGTATAATAATAATATATATAAATCCTGTATAATAATAATAATATATAAATCCTGTATAATAATAATAATATATAAATCCTGTATAATAATAATATATAAAATAATAATAATATATAAATCCTGTAATATATAAATCCTGTATAATAATAATAATATATAAATCCTGTATAATAATAATAATATATATCAATCCTGTATAATAATAATATATAATCAATCCTGTATAATAATATATAAATCCTGTATAATAATATATAAATCCTGTATAATAATAATATATAAATCCTGTATAATAATAATATATAAATCCTGTATAATTATAATAATATATAAATCCTGAATATAATAAAATAATAATAATAATATATCCTGTATAATAATAATAATATATATATATCCTGTATAATAATAATAATATAAATCCTGTATAATAAATATATATATATCCTGTATAATAATAATATATAAATCCTGTATAATAATAATATATAAATCCTGTATAAATAATAATATATAAATCCTGAATAATAATAATATATAAATCCTGTATAATAATAATAATATATAAATCCTGTATAATAATAATAATATATAAATCCTGTATAAATCCTGTATAATAATATGTGTGTTTTGTAGAGATGTATAGAATATTTTTATGTAATTTTGACGAGACATACACTTAAACCAAGTTGTAATCTATCAATGTGACTATGGGTTTTGTAGGAGGTGAATGCTCTGGAGTGCGAGATTCAACTGCTGAAAAATCTGCTGCACGAGCGCATTGTACAATATTATGGCTGCTTAAGGGACTGCCAGGAGAGGACGCTTTCCATATTTATGGAATATATGCCAGGGGTAAGAGAACATTTTCAGAGTCCTTGCAACTTGTTGGGGCCTATCCAGAAAGATCGGTGAGATTGCTGCTTTTTTTTTTTTTTACCTATTTCACAACGAATTCTGCCTAATTATATCCTGATAATAAATGTGTGCCGTATATTATATAAATATCTGACACAGTGACATGTACATGGCTTTTGGGTTGTTCATGACGTGATGATTCTGGTCCCTGTCTTCCCCATTCATCCCTTTCATCTATGTTCTCCCCCATCCCTGATATTCATGCAAACAGAATTGGCAAGTTCTCAGCTTCATTGTGCTGTAGGTCTGAATCATGACTTTTGTCAGTGTCCAGCAGAGCACTGGTTAAAGCTTGTAGGAGTTTTCATTCTCCACTGATTGTCCTATGACGGGTGGGTAACTGTGGCCCTCCAGCTGTTGGTGAACTACAAGTCCCATCATGCCTCTGCCTTTGGGAGTCATGCTTGTAACTGTCAGTTTTGCAATGCCTCATGGGACTTGTAGTTCTACAACTGGAGGACCACAGTTGCCCACCCCTGTCCTATGAGGCTGCATGACCCCTGACCCTCTTTCTGGACAGTGCTGATTGGCCCTGTGCTGATAACATGCACTCTCTCAAGAAAAAAAAAACTCGGTAGCAATACACACTAAACTGAGCATGTGCAGAGTGCCTCCTAGGCTCTGTTCTATCAGGAGATATATATTGGGGACCGTAGAAGGGGAGGATCAGAGAAGACAGGATCAAACAGCCTTTTTACACAATGCAACGGATTAACCCCTTAGGTTCCATAGTGAGTATAGCAAGTATGCTTTACTGCATCTACAGACTGATTGTACTGTTGTGGGTTTAGTAACACTTGAGCAGCAAGCCTTGTTTTCCCATTTTAACAGTGTAAATTTCTTTCTTGTCACGTAGGGCTCAATAAAGGACCAACTCAAGGCTTACGGAGCACTAACAGAATTTGTGACCCGGAAATACACCCGCCAGATTCTGGAGGGGGTGCACTATTTGCACAGTAATATGATTGTACATCGAGACATCAAAGGTGAGTTTGGGCTTTGGTGTGAGATGAACTGTGTATAAGTTTGATTTGTGTGTTTAGTTTCAGAGCAGGAGGCCAAATCTCTCAAATTACCGTTCCATACATTGGTTCCATTCACGTTCCATACATGATTCCATTCACGTTCCATACATGGTTCCATTCACGTTCTATACATGGTTCCATTCACATTCTATACATGGTTCCATTCACGTTCCATACATGGTTCCATTCACGTTCCATACATGGTTCCATTCACGTTCCATACATGGTTCCATTCACGTTCCATACATGGTTCCATTCACGTTCCATACATTGGTTCCATTCACGTTCCATACATTGGTTCCATTCACGTTCCATACATTGGTTCCATTCACGTTCCATACATTGGTTCCATTCACGTTCCATACATTGGTTCCATTCACGTTCCATACATGGTTCCATTCACGTTCCATACATTGGTTCCATTCACGTTCCATACATTGGTTCCATTCACGTTCCATACATTGGTTCCATTCACGTTCCATACATTGGTTCCATTCACGTTCCATACATTGGTTCCATTCACGTTCCATACATTGTTCCATTCACGTTCCATACATTGGTTCCATTCACGTTCCATACATTGGTTCCATTCACGTTCCATACATTGGTTCCATTCACGTTCCATACATTGGTTCCATTCACGTTCCATACATTGGTTCCATTCACGTTCCATACATTGGTTCCATTCACGGTCCATACATTGGTTCCATTCACGGTCCATACATTGGTTCCATTCACGGTCCATACATTGGTTCCATTCACGGTCCATACATTGGTTCCATTCACGTTCCATACATTGGTTCCATTCACGTTCCATACATTGGTTCCATTCACGTTCCATACATTGGTTCCATTCACGGTCCATACATTGGTTCCATTCACGGTCCATACATTGGTTCCATTCACGTTCCATACATGGTTCCATTCACGTTCCATACATTGGTTCCATTCACGTTCCATACATGGTTCCATTCACGTTCCATACATTGGTTCCATTCACGTTCCATACATTGGTTCCATTCACGGTCCATACATTGGTTCCATTCACGGTCCATACATTGGTTCCATTCACGGTCCATACATTGGTTCCATTTACGTTTCATACATTGGTTCCATTCACGTTCCATACATTGGTTCCATTCACGGTCCATACATTGGTTCCATTTACGTTTCATACATTGGTTCCATTCACGTTCCATACATGGTCACCACATACACAGTGCTCTTCCTCCGACTATATTACAGCACGTTCAAGTTCTTGCTTTGTTTTACCTGCCAGGAGCTAACATTCTGCGAGACTCTTCAGGCAATGTAAAGTTGGGAGACTTTGGAGCCAGCAAACGTCTGCAGACTATCTGCCTCTCTGGTACAGGTATGAAGTCAGTCACTGGCACCCCCTACTGGATGAGTCCGGAAGTGATCAGTGGGGAAGGGTATGGGCGGAAAGCAGACATCTGGTAAGTATAACACCAAGCAGTTATTTTGTTTGATTAGTGTAGCTGAATAATTCTCTTTCAATAAGCTTTTATCCAGCAATTTTTAGTTTTTTAATGAATGGGGAAAATGCTGTAAAAAAAAAAAGTAGCTTCATACGTGTTTAATAAAGAACAATCCATTGTAGAAAGGTGTATGTTGTATAGGAAGGAAGAAGAAACGTTTGGCCGCACGCCGGAGGTTTGATGAAGAAAAAAAAAAATATGAAAAATATTTATTGGTCCATAAAAAGACCCAGAATATGCAGCACCAGGACTGATGCTGACTGTTTACGTGTTTCACACGGTCACGTGCTTCGTCATAACAAGGAGAAAATCAGAGGTGCTGTCTTATAGGCATCAACCTATTAGAGAACACATGCATCAATCAGCACTCCTGAGTCCCAAAGATAAACAAGCCAATTACATTGTTACAAAAAAAAAAGATATATATAGATAGATGGATATAGATATAGAGACAATGATGAGATAGATATAGATGATGAGAAATATAATATTATATATAGAATATAAATACATGCATACATACGTATAAGCAAACGCCCAATACATCCAGTCACATATTGTACAAAGAATATATAGGACAATATAACATACCTCAGATTCCGGGGGATGACTACGTGTTTTAAGGCGGTAACCTTTCTTTCTCTAGCCTGATTGACACACACCCACAGGCCCCAAGAGTATGATGTCACTGCCAGGGGCGGACTGACCATTTGGAAACTCAGGCACTGCCCGGGGTCAGTAGGGGGCCCCATGAGATGCCCCTGGTACCTTTTTCATAGGCTTTTTTGAGTTTGGGCAAGGACACAGGGGCCCCATGATCCCCTATTGCCGGGGGCCCCATGAGTTGTCAGTCCGCCCGTGGTCACTGCTTAGGTCCCCCCGCTGTCAAACCTTTGATAGTTTTGGCTTCCTTGCCTTGGTATACACTCTCCGCAGCGGTTCAGTGTTCCACTTAGCTAGATGTTCTTCCACACTGCCTGGGAACACAGATGAAAGCTCTGGGGTTACATGACCTGCATTTTATTCTTCATACTCATGTGAGTGGGTATTTACTCTTTTATTAATACTTTTTTTTTTTTTCTGCTGCAACTATCCCTCTATCTGTGGAGGAGCTGCTCTAAGGGCTTTGTGGCCATTTTAGGTTCATTCTCTGGATATATTCCTTACTACATTTGGCTGCTGTTAACTTGGAGCCTACGTGTGTTTTTTGCGCAATGACAGATAATTACTAAGTAACCCATAGTATCCACACTCCACCTTCTTTTTCTCTGACTATATTTTTTGGATCTGAAGGTTTAAATACATTTTTAAGAAATTATTTTAAAGTGGTTGTAAACCTAAAAAACACAAATCAATCTAATCCTACAGTTGATTAGGTTCTACCTTTTACTAGGCATTTGAGCTTAGTTTGGTATCTTGAAACAATCCCCTTCTCTAGAAATCCCCCCTGCTCTTCTGAACAGAATAAATCCGACACAAGCAGAAAAATGGTGTTGCCACTCCTACTCCTGTGAGTGACAGGCTATGCTGAAGACGAGACCAGCATGAGCCTCCATGTAATACACTGCAAAGGGGTGGGGAAGCGGGTGTCCTCTCACCGCTGGTCTCAAGATTGAGAGCTCAGCACCAGTGATTTATGACATAGATCGGCATCACTTCAGTAATGCTGAAATTATCTAAGCAAGTCTGCTGACAGTTGATTATTGTCCTGCTCTATTCACAACGCCTTGGTTGCGAATTGCTGTTTACAAAGTTTTACATGAGAATGTTTCCTGGTCCACATTGCCACTTTAAGCTGAGGGATTCCTAGGATTTTTAACACGAACACCCCCTGCCGGCTTTCTCCTGATTAGCGCAGATCCTGTGCTGTAAGCAGAGCTGACATAGTCATTGGCACCTGTGTACTGCCCTAAATGTACTCAGGAGACATGCTCACAGGCATAGAGATGTCAGATAGCTATGCACGTTCTGGAGCCGAGGCTGGAGGGTGTGTATAACTGAGGGAATGTGTGACATCACATCTCCGCCTACTATTCTCTGGTCCTAAGCCACGCCCACAGACCAGCAGTTTTTGGAGGGCTGAGACAAACTAAGGGAACATTTTCTGAGGTACACGCACAGCTGCATGTATGTTTACATTAAAATGTATTCATTTATGGCAAAAAGTACTTTTATATTTATATTATATATATATATATATATATATATATATATATATATATTTATTTGCGTTTACAACCACTTTAAAGCGGAGCTTCCACCCAAAAGGGGACGTTCCGCTTTAAGGACTGCTCCCCCGCTCCCCATTAAGGATTGGCACCTTTGGGGGGGGGGGGGGAGGGGGGGCGGGTACCCGAATTTGACAGGTACCCGCTCCCATTTCCGGTCACCTAGGCGATTGGAAACAGAAGGTGTCCTTCCTTCCTGTAGTCTTTTGGGACACGTGACAGGTCACAGAAGACTACAGGACTATTCATGAAGTGCAGCGCTACGCGCGCATGCACAGTGGGTACCCGGTTGTCATAGCCAGGTGCCCACACTGAAGCTGTCACAAGCCAGGTGCCCACACTGAAGCTGCAAGCTGTCACAGCCAGGTGCCCACACTGAAAATGCCGGCCTCCTGGAATACAGGACAGCCGGTGAAACGGGCTGCGGGGGACACACCAAGGGACAGGTAAGTGGCTGTTTTTAAGAGTCAACAGCTACAGTTTTTTGTAGCAGCTGACTTTTATTTTTTGACAGGTGAGTGGAACTCCGCTTTAAGGAATTCGGACGCTTTTTTGATTTTGAACCTTTAGCAGTGTTGCTTGCTTTTTGTAACTTCTTTGTTTCTTTTTGCCAGGAGCGTGGGTTGCACAGTTGTAGAAATGCTGACTGAGAAACCGCCCTGGGCGGAGTTTGAGGCCATGGCCGCCATCTTTAAAATCGCCACCCAGACCACCAACCCACAGCTGCCAGCACATGTATCCGACCACACTCGGGACTTCCTTAAAAGGATTTTTGTAGAGGCCAAATTGAGGCCGTCGTCTGAAGAACTGCTAAGGCACACATTTTCCCAGTGTCACTAGTGACTTCCCCTCGTTCAGCTCTTCCTTTCCTCTGCGTCCTTCCAAAGCTGATGGCACTTTACAAGCCAACTAAAGACATATATGGTATTGACAAGAGAGATGACAAAGATTCTCTCGATTCTACTCATCTTATTGGAGGGCTGCTTGGACTGGTCACGGTAGAGACGAAGACTTCCTGATGTTCAAAACTTGGAACATGGTACATCTGCGTTACTCCAAGTCAAAGCACTTTAGAACATTCTCATTCCTTGTCCTTCAGTAACGGGAACCTTCCGGGATGAAGGACACAAAACAAGTTGTGAAGGACATGTAGACGCAGGTCGGCACAAGGCAGCTCTGTTTTTAAATTTGTTTTTATTTTTTTTATTTTTTTTTCTGTGTAGATGATGTACCCGGTATAAGCACTGCTTGGGATCAGAGCTGCTTTTCGTTTTTTTGTTAGTTGTTTGTGTTCAGTCATTCTGTTTCCAAGTATATACATAATCTGATCCATTGGCAAGCATTAGCAAACGGCATCACTGCAGGTAAAGTCATGTTAGCGACCAGCCTTCCGGGATTTGCCTTCTCCCCCACAAGACGAGTGAAATATACAGGCCGCACGCCACTGTACGCTATAACCAAGCCCATTTCATGGGCGAAATGCGTCAGCTTCTGAGTGATATCCTGCAGGGAAGATTTACTTTGGTGTAAGTAAAGTTGATTGTGACAGTGGAGTGCGTTCTGTATGTTCTACTTATCTGATCCATTGGGCTTAATCCATCTGGCAAAGAACAAAGTGCAATAAGCCAACCAATTGTTTTTTCTTTCTCAGATATGACTATGGGCTACTGTATGCTCGTTGTACTTTTTTTTTTTTTTTTTTTTTCTCAGTGCCGTTCGCAGTGCTTACCAAAAAGGCCTTTTGTGTTTTTAAAACAAGCCCAAACTCATAGGTCTGCTTTAATAGATGAGGCAGGCAGGGTGGGGGTGTAGGATCACAGGAACTTTCCTTAGACCTGTAAAGCTGGTTTGGTTCCAGGTCTAGTGACCATAAGCTAGTATGTCGGGTATTTCTCAGCTGTTCTCTATGGTGGATGCAAACATCTGCAGAGCACCCCAGTGCAGAACCGCCATGCTCTATGATCAGGAATCTGATCGCTGCTGACTTGTTTATATATATACAGCTGAGAGGCAAGTTCGATTTTACTGCCCCTACCCTGCTTCCCTCATGCTCGATAATTGAATTGGCCTGCTTCCACGTTTGGGTGTATGTATAATACGTTTTTTTGTAGAGTACAGAAGGATTAGAACCTTTGTCAAGTTTTTATTGCTCGGTATATTTTGAAACCGCAAGGAGCACTAGATTACTCATTGAGTACTTAAAGGGTATATTGGATTCGACTGGCAGCTCTATTTTCTCTGGGATTTCTGTGAGGGGGTCCTTTAAAAAAAAAAAGTGATATGATAAAAAGGAAGAGCCACTCCATGTATGAGACTCTAGAGCAGCGGTCTCCAAACTTTCTAAACAAAGGGTCGGTTTACTGTTCTTAAGACTTTTGGGGGCCACACTAGAGCCAGTGGCAGTAGAAAACGTCCTGGCGCCAGTGGCAGTAAACTATCCCATATCTTTGGTGTCAGTGGGATGACTAGTGCCCCTTCATTGGCGTCAGATGGAGAAATTCTGCCCCATCATTGGTATCCGTGAAAAGCATTCTGCCCCATCATTGGCGTTCGTGAAAAGCATTCTGCCCCATCATTGGCGTTCGTGAAAAGAATTCTGCCCCATCATTGGCATTCGTGAAAAAAATTCTGCCCCATCGTTGGCGTCCGTGAAAAAAATTCTGCCCCATCCTTGGCATCCGTGATAAGAATTCTGCCCCATCATTGGCGTTTGTGAAAAGCATTCTGCCCCATCATTGGCATTCGTGAAAAGAATTCTGCTCCATCATTGGCGTTTTTGAAAAGTATTCTGCCCCCATCGTTGGTGTCTGTGAAAAGAATTCTGCCCCATCATTGGTGCCTGTGAAAAGAATTCTGCCCCCATCGTTGGTGCCTGTGAAAAGAATTCTGCCCATCGTTGGTGCATGTGAAAAGAATTCTGCCCCATCATTGGTGCCTGTGAAAAGAATTCTGCCCCATCATTGGTGCCTGTGAAAAGAATTCTGCCCCATCATTGGTGCCTGTGAAAAGAATTCTGCCCCATCATTGGTGCCTGTAAAAATAATTCTGCCCCATCATTGGCGTTCGTGAAAAGAATTTAGCCCCATCGTTGGCGTTCTTGAAAATCTGCCCCATCATTAGTGTCAGTGAAAGGAATAGAATACTTCATCATTGGTGTCATTGGGAGGAATACTGCCCCATTGTTGTCAGTGGAAGGAATAGTGCCCCATCATTGGCGTCCATGTAAGGAATTATGCCCTTTTGTTGGTGTCAGTGGGAGGAATAGTTCCCATTCATTGGTGTTAATGGAAAGAATTGTGCCATTTTGATGGTGTCCATGGGAAGAATAGTACCCCACTGTTGGTGTCAGCAGTAGGAATTATACCCCATCAATGGTGTCAGTGGAAGGGAATATGCCCCATTGTTGATGACAGTGGGAGGAATAGTGACCCGTTGTTGGTGTCTGCAACAGGAATTATGCCTCATTGTTGGTGTCAGCGTTGGAGTAACGCCCCAAGGGTCGGCTAAAGGCAGGCAAAGGGCCGCAGTTTGGAGACTGCTGATCTACAGTAATATTTTATTTAAAATCGCCAAGAAAAAGTCAATGCATTTCAGGGGTTGTGGTAGCCCCCTTCAGAGCTGCAAACCTAAAAACTATGAATATAATCTATATTGGAATACTGCTAGAAAATATTTTTCAAGAGTTACCACACATGGGGACAAAAACAAAAAAACTGTGTGTGTGTGTATATGTATAGGGGGGTGTGTGTGTGTATGTATGTATGTATGCATATGTATGCATATGTGTGTGTGTGTGTATATATGTGTGTGTGTGTGTGTGTGTATGTATATATATATATATATATGTGTGTGTGTGTGTATGTATATGTATGTGTGTGTGTATATATATATGTATATATATAGGTGTGTAGGGGTGTGTTTATTATATATAGGGGTGTGTGTTTTTATATAATTTATAGGAATTCTCTCTCATATACATACAAAGATTTCTTTACAATTATTGTCTTCTTGTGGATTTTAGCAGCATTACTGTGGATTCTTATACATGGGGTGGCACATCAATTCCTTCTTATAAAAATGTTTTATTGTGGTCTGTGTCCCCGCTGGGGAGATTGACCCTATTTGTCCTGTTGACCGTTACCACCTGGACAGAAAGTGAGGGGAAATACAGTATTTTTCAGTTTGCAAGGGGGCAAGAAGTCGGGGTAAAACCATTTTTTTATGACTTCTGTCTAAGGAGAATTTTCTAAATGTATCGTATTTTCTCACTTCTGGATGCATCTTGGGGACGGGACATCTCCCCAGCAACACACAGACCGCAAAAAAGGCTTTAAACTTTCCATACTCTATCTAAAAACAAAATAAAAAAATTGCCTATACATACACCTTAATTCTGTATAAGGTTCTGTACAAGGCACTTTTGGATTTGGGACCTTTGTTAACTGAAAGTCCAATAAATTCAACAGGTGCCTTTTATATAATGGTATGGTATTTAATAACATTCACAAATCTATAGAAAATGTCCTTTATTGATACAAATGGAAGTAACTGATTAATGCTCCAAGTGGGATCGGAGGGGGCCATATTTGTCTGAGGAAATGCGGCTTTACACGGATTCCTGACAGGAAATGAGGATTGTTCCGTATATATCCCCTTCTATCTTGTTTTTGGCTTTTTTTTTTTTTTTTTTTAAACATGCCCAACTCCAACAAGTGTCTAGAATTTTCATGGAATGGTGTATCTGTATATACATTTGTGAATGTTATTGATAGCTCTGCTATTCAGATGGTACTTTAGGATAACTGGCTTTTTATTTGTAGATTAACTTCCAAAGGGAGGTTGGGTAGCAATTTTATATTGCTGATCAATACAGAATAGCAAATTTCCATTTAGATTAACTGTGACATGAGAAGTATGTTAAGTCAACTGTTTATCTACCGTTCTGTCAGATACATTCATAACGACACTGATAACTGTGCAAGTCTAGTAGAATGTTTGTCATAAGGTAAACCGCTATACCTGAGCTAAGGACCTATTTAGCGGACACGGTTTTCGGAACTCCAGTCAGTTTGTAAAAAAAAAAGAACAAATGTACCCATTGGTAGCTCCCCCATTCTGTAATGCTCATTACCCATTGGTAGCTCTCCCATTCTGTAATGCTCATTACCCATTGGTAGCTTCCCCATTCTGTAATGCTCAATACCCATTGGTAGCTCCCCATTCTGTAATGCTCATTACCCATTGGTAGCTCCCCCATTCTGTAATGCTCAATACCCATTGGTAGCTCCCCCATTCTGTAATGCTCATTACCCATTGGTAGCTCCCCCATTCTGTAATGCTCATTACCCATTGGTAGCTCCCCATTCTGTAATGCTCATTACCCATTGGTAGCTCTCCCATTCTGTAATGCTCATTACCCATTGGTAGCTCCCTCATTCTGTAATGCTCATTACCCATTGGTAGCTCCCCCATTCTGTAATGCTCATTACCCATTGGTAGCTCCCCCATTCTGTAATGCTCATTACCCATTGGTAGCTCCCCCATTCTGTAATGCTCATTACCCATTGGTAGCTCTCCCATTCTGTAATGCTCATTACCCATTGGTAGCTCTCCCATTCTGTAATGCTCATTACCCATTGGTAGCTCCCTCATTCTGTAATGCTCATTACCCATTGGTAGCTTCCCCATTCTGTAATGCTCAATACACATTGGTAGCTCCCCCATTCTGTAATGCTCATTACCCATTGGTAGCTCCCCCATTCTGTAATGCTCATTACCCATTGGTAGCTCCCCCATTCTGTAATGCTCATTACCCATCGGTAGCTCCCCCATTCTGTAAT